TCTCCCCTCCTTCCTTCCTCACCTGATTGCCTGTGGGACTGTTTTTTTTCTCCTGATTGGCTGTACAACAGCTTCAGGTCAGATTTGGCTTTCGCTGCTATGTCATCTTTCGTATTGTCGTTGGGGCTCCCTTCTTACCATAGCATATACGTTTCTGGCTCTACGACTGCTCTCCTTATTCTCCTGGGACCTTTGCCTTCTATACTTCTTCCATTCTCTAGCACACTTGGTTTGGCCTCTCTACACCTTGGATGAACCAAGGGCTCATCCTGGATTTCTCGTTATTTCTGTTACCCTTGGGTACAAACCTCTCCTCGGCTTCCTTGCATATTGTTGTCACATATTCCATCATGCATATTGCTGTCACATATTCCATCATGCATATTGTTTGTCACATATTCCATCATGCATATTGTTGTCACATATTCCATCATGCATATTGTTGTCACATATTCCATCATGCATATTGTTGTCACATATTCCCCCATGTGGCTCCAGGTTTTCCCAGTCGATTTCCTTGCAATTAAAGTCATTCACAATTAGCAATTTTGCCTGCATGCATGAGCCCTTCTGGCCACTTCAGCCAGTGTGTCAACCATCACTCTATTACTCTCCTGCGCTCTGTGGTGGGCTATACATCACTTCAGTTACCACCCTGGACTCCAGACTGAAGTGTTCTTACTATGTAGTCTCTTGCTTCTCCTCGTCTCCTTTTCTCCAGCTCATCAAAATTCCATTGGTTTTCGATGAGCAGTGCCACTCCTCCACCCCCTCTGTCTTTCCTCAGGATCTGATATCCCATTGAAAGATGGCATCTATTATAATTCCTGTGAGCTCGGTGCTGTGAGACCTATGGTGTCCGGTGATGCCTCTTTGACTCTTTCATGGCACTCCTCCACTTATTCATTATTCCATCAGTGTTGGTGTACCATACCTTCAGTTTCCTCTCCAACACTGTGTTCTGGGGGTCTGTGAGGGTGGGGGAACTGCAGTGTGCTGTGGATTCTATAGCGTAGTGTGGGGTGGGGGCTGTAAGTGTGGATTGTGGGTTCTGTTAGGATACGTGTTTGGTTGTGGGTTCTGAGGGTGGTTCTGTGTGTGCTTGTGCTTGTTGCTCTTCCATGCTCTGGTTGTCCTCTGCTGACTCTCTCCTTGTCTCTCTTCCAAGCCCCTTTTGTTTCCGTGCACTCTCCCTCAACTGCTGTCATTTTGTTCTTGTTCCGTTGCGGTCTAGGAACACTCTCTTGTATGTTGATGATTCCTTCAGCCGTGGTTTCTCTTGCAGGATCCTGTTCTGCACCGTTTATGTCTTGAAAATCAGTTTGACCGGCCGATTTCTCCGCTTCAAGTGCCCCCCAACCCTCTATTCTCTGAAAATTTATTATCTCAGTCATGTCCTCCTCGCCTATTTCTTTGATGATGTTTTCAATCTCCTGGTTTTTCTTAATGCTGTCTTTCATTGTGTGTCCTTCCCTCGCTCTTCTGAAGCCCAGGAATAAACACTGACTTCTTCCTCTCCTCCTCCCTTTGCCTTTACCTCTGTGCCTCTGGGTCCCGTTTGTATATGGCGATTGTCTTCCTTATTTTTTCCTATAATTCTTGGTAGCATGATCGTGCCTCTGCATGGGACCTGTCCCTTTCTCCAGCTTCTTCCCCCTCCCTGCTATCCCTGCTCTGTGTGTGTGTGTGTGTGTGTGTGTGTGTGTGTGTGGTGTGGTGTGGTGTGTGTTCTTACGTGAGTTTAGCCATTGGAATATTCATGAAGACATCAGGTAGTTTTGGAGGGATAACGTTGTAGACCAGGTCCTCAAAACCCTTCATCAGGTCGTCAGGGTTGTCATAGAAGAAGTTGGGGTCGTTTCTTATCATGTCTGAGAACTCTGGTACTGTCATGTTGTATCCCAGCTCTCTCACAACCTGTTAGTATCAAAGGAGTTAGAAACACACTTGCTATACTCACCCTAGCTCTCTACACAGAGTTAGAGGAGGTTAGACTGTAGTGATAGCCTTCCCAACGAGCACAGCACCACCACAGCAGAACCACCACAGCACAACCACCACAGCACAACCACCACAGCACATCCACCACAGTACCATCACCACAGCACCACCACCACAGCACAACCACCAGAGCACAACCACCACAGCACCACCACCAGAGCACAACCACCACAGCACAACCACCACAGCACAACCACCACAGCACATCCACCACAGCACCACCACCACAGTACCATCACCAGCACACCCACAGCACAACCACCACAGCACAACCACCACAGCACAACCACCACAGCACAACCACCACAGCACACCACCACAGCACCACCACCACAGTACCATCACCACAGCACCAACCACCACAGCACAACCACCACAGCACAACCACCACAGCACAACCACCACAGCACAATCACACAGCACCACCACCACAGTACCATCACCACAGCACCACCACCACAGCACAACCCCCAAGACAACCACCACAGCACACACCACCACCACACAGCACATCCACCACAGCACCCCCACCACGTACCCACCACAGCACCACCACCACAGCAACCCACACCACAGCACACCACCACAGACAACCACCAGCACAACCACCACAGCACCCACCACAGCACACACCACAGCACCCAAACCCCCACACCCCACACCACAACACCACAGCACCACCACACACACCACCACACCACCACACCACCACACCACCACCACCATCACCACCACCACACCCCCACCCCCACACCCCCCAACACAGCACCACACCAGCACCCAACACAGCACCACCACCGCAGCACCACCACCACAGCACCACCACCACCACAGCACCACCACCGCAGCACCACCACCGCAGCACCACCGCCGCAGCACTAGCACCGCAGCACCACCACCACAGCACCACCACCACCAGCACCACCACCGCAGCACCCCCACCGCAGCACCACCGCCGCAGCCTAGCACCGCAGCCACCACACACCACCACACAGCACCACCACGCAGCACCCACGCAGCACCACCACCACACCACCACCACAAACCACCACCAACACCCCCACACCACCACCACCACACCACCACATCACCACCCCCACCACCACACCAACACACCACCAACACAGACCACCAAACACCCCCGGGGCCCCCCACAGCACCACCCACAGCACCACCACCGCAGCACCACCACCGCAGCACCACCGCCGCAGCACCAGAACCGCAGCACCACAACCACAGCACACCACCGCAGCAAACCCCCACACGCAGCACCACCCCCAGCACCACCCCCACACACCACCACCACCACACCACCACCACCACACCACCACACCACCGACCCCCCACCACCACCTACGCACCACCACCCCACACCCACCACCACCACACCCCCACCACCACACACCCGCACACACACCACCCCCACCCACCACCACACCCACCACCACACCCCCACACCACCACCCAGCACCACCACCACCACACCACCACCACCACCACCACACACCACCACCACCAACCACCACCACACCACCCAGCACCACACCACACCACCACCACCACACCACCACCTACAGCACCACACCACACACCACCACACCCACCACCACCACACCACCACCGCACACCACCCACCACCACCACAACCACACCACCACACCACCACCACTACAGCACCACACCCACACCACCACCAAACCCCACCACCACCACCACACACCACCACCACAGCACCACCACCACAGCACCACCACCACACCACCACCACCAACACCACCACAACACCACCACACCACACCACCATACAGCACCACCACCAGCACCACCACCACCCACCACCACCCACCACACCACCACCACCACAAACCACCACCATACAGCACCACCACCACAGCACCACCACCGCCACCACCACCACACCACCACCACCACACACCCACACACACCACCACACACCACCACTACAGCACCACCACCACAGCACCACCACCACAGCACCACCACCACACCACCACCAAACCCCACCACCACCACCACCAGCACCACCACCACAGCACCACCACCAGCACCACCACCACACACCACCACCACACACCACCACCACACCACCACCACCACACCACCACCACTACAGCACCACCACCACAGCACCACCACCGCAGCACCACCACCACACCACCACCACCACCACCACCACCACACACACCACCACCACCCCCACCACCACCACTACACCCACCACACAGCACCACCACCGCAGCACCACCACCACACCCACCACCACCACCCACCACCACCACACACCACCACCCACACCACCACTACAGCACCACCACCACAGCACCACCACCGCAGCCACCACCACCACAACCCAAACCAAACCAAACCACACCACCACAATACACACTCAAAGGACTCCCACCAACATATTTAGCACACTTCACACCGCCACCACCACCACACTACCCCACCACACGTTACTCCCTGTACAGATACCTCCCATATGTCGCTATTATACCTAAGAGATCCCAAGGATCAATATACAAAACATTTTTATTTATTCCGTAGGTTATTAATGATTATGACACGTCAAAACTTACTTTTCCCCGGCACAGTGTAACACCTTCACAAGTTCTGTACCATTAGCGCAAGAGGTACCTGGGTTTCAGCAACTTTTGCATTCTTGAAATTCAGACCCTTGGTATTAGACGCAGCCCTCGTGACTAACTTTCTTATTACCGTTTACACCCTTCTAGGTTAAAATCGCAAAACTAGTTACATTTGCTAAACCCAGCATGTCAGTCATCGGGGAATCGTCTGAATGGTGATCCCAGAAAGGTGATCGAAGGATATAACAAAACCACAATCTTTTAAACGTAAACTATATCGTTGTAAGACATTTAAAGTTCTCATCATCTATGTACCCCATTTAACCACACGGTACAGTGGTAAATTACAGTTTACATAAATGATTACTTTATCAACTGAGACAGTGGGCTCACCTCGGTTAGCGCTGGCGTATTTCGGAGGTGCATACTCGTTGGACTAGTCTTGTAGCCCTTAAACCGGGACACTGACAAAGGGGTTTTTATAAACTTATTATATATGAATACTATATATATATTATATTTAAAATAATAAATATCTGAGTTTACATATATTAATAATGTGGTGGTAGTTGTTGTGTGTGGGTGATGGTAGGCTGGGTGTGTGTGTGGTGTGTGTGTGTGTGTGTGTGTGTACTCACCTAGTTGAGGTTGCGGGGGTCGAGTCCGAGCTCCTGGCCCCGCCTCTTCACTGATCGTTACTAGGCACTCTCCCTGAGCCGTGAGCTTTATCATACCTCTGCTTAAAGCTATGTATGGATCCTGCCTCCACTACATCGCTTCCCAAACTATTCCACTTACTGACTACTCTGTGGCTGAAGAAATTACTTCCTAACATCCCTGTGATTCATCTGTGTCTTCAGCTTCCAACTGTGTCCCCTTGTTACTGTGTCCAATCTCTGGAACATCCTGTCTTGTCCACCTTGTCAATTCCTCTCAGTATTTTGTATGTCGTTATCATGTCCCCCTATCTCTCCTGTCCTCCAGTGTCGTCAGGTTGATTTCCCTTAACCTCTCCTCGTAGGACATACCTCTTAGCTCTGGGACTAGTCTTGTTGCAAACCTTTGCACTTTCTCTAGTTTTTCACGTGCTTGGCTAGGTGTGGGTTCCAAACTGGTGCCGCATACTCCAATATGGGCCTAACGTACACGGTGTACAGGGTCCTGAATGATTCCTTATTAAGATGTCGGAATGCTGTTCTGAGGTTTGCTAGGCGCCCATATGCTGCAGCAGTTATTTGGTTGATGTGCGCTTCAGGAGATGTGCCTGGTGTTATACTCACCCCAAAATCTTTTTCCTTGAGTGAGGTTTGTAGTCTCTGACCCCCTAGACTGTACTCCGTCTGCGGCCTTCTTTGCCCTTCCCCAATCTTCATGACTTTGCACTTGGTGGGATTGAACTCCAGGAGCCAATTGCTGGACCAGGTCTGCAGCCTGTCCAGATCCCTTTGTAGTTCTGCCTGGTCTTCGATCGAGTGAATTCTTCTCATCAACTTCACGTCATCTGCAAACAGGGACACCTCAGAGTCTATTCCTTCCGTCATGTGTGTGTGTGTGTGTGTGTGTGTGTGTGTGTGTGTGTCAGAGAAAGTAACTTTATACTGACAAATATATAAAGGCAGACGTTTAGTGCATGAGAGCATTTCTCACCTGGTGAGCGAAGCGTTTTCATAATCCAAAGCTTCTTAATATTGCATCATAAGGTTGCATATATTGCATAATCACCTGGTTAACGATGACATCCCTGGCTGCATCCTGGTAGTAAACTATGTCATCCTGAGTCATGTTGTCAGGGAAGACAGTGTAAGGGAACCAGAGTGGTGAATCCTCAGCTGTATCCACGACGAACCTTCCCAGACTGTCTGCCACGTTCTCCTGCAACACAGCAGTGTGCTTCACACACCTTACTGATGACTTACTGAAGTAAGCAAACAGGTTTCAGGTCAGCGACTGCTCAAGCGTTTATATATATATATATATATATATATATGGGCCGTCTCCAACAGAGGCAGGTGACCCACCGAGGCAGGGTGACCCACCGAGGCAGGGTGACCCACCGAGGCAGGGTGACCCACCGAGGCAGGGTGACCCACCGAGGCAGGGTGACCCACCGAGGCAGGGTGACCCACCGAGGCAGGATGACCCAAAAAGAAAGAAAATCCCCCCAAAAAAATACTTTCATCATCATTCAACACTTTCACCACACACATAATCACTGTTTTTGCAGAGGTGCTCAGAACACAACAGTTTAGAATCATATACCTATAAAGATACACAACATATCCCTCCAAACTGCCAATATCCCAAACCCCTCCTTTAGAGTGCAGACATTGTACTTCCCATTTCCAGGACTCAAGTCCGGCTATATAAAAATAACCGGTTTCCCTGAATCCCTTCACTAAATATTACCCTGCTCACACTCCAACAGATCGTCAAGTCCCAAATACCATTCGTCTCCATTCACTCCTATGGAATACGCTCACGCATGCCTGCTGGAAGTCCAAGCCCCTTGCCCACAAAACCTCCCTTACCTCTTCCTTCCAACCTTTTCGAGGACGACCCCTACCCCGCCTTCCTTCCCCTACAGATTTAAATGCTCTCCATGTCATTCTACTTTGATCCATTCTCTCTAAATGACCAAAGCACCAACAACCCCTCTTCAGCCCTCTGACTAATACTTTTACCTCCACACCTTCTCCTAATTTCCACACTCCGAATTTTCTGCATAATATTTACACCACACATTGCCCTTAGACAGAACATCTCCACTGCCTCCAACCGCCTCCTCGCTGCTGCATTCACAACCCAAGCTTCACACCCATATAAGAGTGTCGGTACTACTATACTTTCATACATTCCCTTCTTTGCCTCTATAGATAACGTTTTTTGTCTCCGCATATACCTCAACGCACCACTCACCTTTTTTCCCTCATCAATTCTATGATTAACCTCATCCTTCAAAAATCCATCCGCCGACACGTCAACTCCCAAATATCTGAAAACATTCACTTCTTCCATACTCCTCCCCAATTTGATATCCAATTTTTCTTTAAATCATTTGATACCCTCATCACCTTACTCTCTTCTATGTTCACTTTCATCTTTCTACCTTTACACACACTCCCAAACTCATCCACTAACCTTTGCAGTTTTTCTTTAGAATCTCCATATGCACAGTATCATCAGCAAAAAGCAACTGTGTCAATTCCCATTTTGTATTTGATTCCCCATAATTTAATCCCACCCCTCTCCCCAACAACCTAGCATTTACTTCCTTTACAACCCCATCTATAAATATATTAAACAACCATGGTGACATTACACATCCCTGTCTAAGACCTACTTTTACCGGGAAGTAGTCTCCCTCTCTTCTACACACCCTAACCTGAGCCTCACTATCCTCATAAAAACTCTTTACAGCATTTAGTAACTTACCACCTATTCCATATACTTGCAACATCTGCCACATTGCTCCCCTATCCACTCTATCATATGCCTTTTCTAAATCCATAAATGCAATAAAAACTTCCCTACCTTTATCTAAATACTGCTCACATATATGCTTCAATGTAAACACTAGATCTACACATCCCCTACCCACTCTGAAACCTCCTTGCTCATCCACAATCTTACATTCTGTCTTACCTCTAATTCTTTCAATAATAGCCCTGCCGTACATTTTTCCTGGTATACTCAGTAAACTTATTCCTCTATAATTTTTACAGTCTCTTTTGTCCCCCTTCCCTTTATATAAAGGGACTATACATGCTCTCCACCAATCTCTAGGTACCTTTCCCTCTTTCATACATTTATTAAACAAAAATACTAACCACTCCAACACTATATCCCCCCCTGCTTTTAACATTTCTGTCATGATCCCATCAGTTCCAGCTGCTTTACCCCCTTTCATTCTACGTAATGCCTCACGCACCTTCCCCACACTCACATCCTGTTCTTCTTCACTCCTAAAAGATGGTATACCTCCCTGTCCAGTGCATGAAATTACCGCCTCCCTTTCTTCGTCGACATTTAAGTTCCTCAAAATATTCTCGCCATCTACCCAAAACCGCCCTCTCCCCATCTACTAACTCCCCTACTCTGTTTTTAACTGACAAATCCATTTGTTCCCTAGGTTTTCTTAACTTGTTTAACTCACTCCAAATTTTTTTCTTATTTTCATTAAAATTTCTTGACAGTGCATCTCCCACTCTATCATCTGCTCTCCTTTTACACTCTCTCACCACTCTCTTCACCTTTCTTTTACTCTCCATATACTCTGCTCTTCTCATAACACTGCTTTGTAAAAACCCCTCATAAGCTAACTTTTTCTCTTTTATCACAACCTTTACTTCATCATTCCACCAATCACTCCTCTTTCCTCCTGCACCCACCCTTCTATAACCACAAACTTCTGCCCCACATTCTAATACTGCATTTTTAAAACTATTCCAACCCTCTTCAACCCCCCCACTACTCATCTTTGCACTAGCCCACCTTTCTGCCAATAGTCGCTTATATCTCACCCGAACTTCCTCCTCCCTTAGTTTATACACTCTCATCTCCCTCTTACTTGTTGTTGCCATTTTCCTCTTTTCCCATCTACCTCTTACTCTAACTGTAGCTACAACTAAATAATGATCCGATATATCAGTTGCCCCTCTATAAACGTGTACATCCTGGAGCCTACCCATCAACCTTTTATCCACCAATACATAATCTAACAAACTACTTTCATTATGTGCTATATCATACCTTATATATTTATTTATCCTCTTCTTCATAAAATATGTATTACTTATTACTAAACCTCTTTCTACACATAGCTCAATTAAAGGTTTCCCATTTTCATTTACCCCTGGCACCCCAAATTTACCTACTACTCCCTCCACCACATTTTTACCCACTTTAGCATTGAAATCCCCAACCACAAGTACTCTCACACTTGGTTCAAAACTCCCCACGCATTCACTCAACATTTCCCAAAACCTCTCTCTCTCCTCTACACTTCTCTCTTCTCCAGGTGCATATACGCTTACTATGACCCACTTTTCACATCCAACCTTTATTTTACTCCACATAATCCTTGAAAAAATTT